GTCACAAATAACGTTTAATATTATATTTTAAATTTAGACCTAATGAAGAGGAAAAAGTTAACATATGTCGAATTTGCCCTATATTCTTTCATTCTGTAGATATTTTTCAGCATCTTCTATGTGCCATTTATTGTGCTAAGTGAAGGGAGTACAGTGAGCAAAGAAACAGCCACAAAAGGTAGCCACAGTTTTTATGGAGATTATCTTGGTCCAGTGCAAATCAGTGTGTGTGTGCTAACCATTGTGCCTGATGCTTTACAAATATTGTCTTACATAATTCTAAGTATTTCATTTAATTCTAAGTATCTAGTAAGATAGACAGTATTGTTAACTTGGAATACAGTTGATGAAAATGAGGCTAAGAAAATTTGGTAATTTTTCCAAAGTTGCATAGCCAGTATGTGACAGAGTGGGATTAGAACTTAATCTTGTCTTTTCATTATCTGTTGTTCGGTTCCCAATCTGGCTCTGCGTCATAGGTAACCTATTAACTGTGGAAGCTTGTTAAAGCTGTAGACCCCTTAGCGCTACCTCCGCAAATTCTTGTTTAGTGCATCTGGCACAGAGCCCTGGGAATCTGCATTTGTAATAAACACTCTAGGGGGGCTTCCCTGGTGGCGCAGTGGTTGAGAGTCCGCCTGCCGATTCAGGGGACATGGGTTCGTGCCCCGGTCCGGGAAGATCCCACGTGCTGCCGAGCAGCTGGGTCCGTGAGCCATGGCCGCTGAGCCTGCGCATCCGGAGCCTGTGCTCCGCAATGGGAGAGGCTGCAACAGTGAGAGGCCCGCATACCGCAAAAAAAACACAACACTCTAGGGACTCCTGTATTTTGGAACTGTTGCCTTCAATATTATATTTATGGTGGGCATCCTAATCTTGTCCCTATTTTTAAAGAAAATGACTTCATCATTTCACTGTTGAGTATCATTTTTGCTGGAAGATATTTAGAGATGCTTGGTCAGATTAAGGATTTCCCTATTCCTAGTTGCTAAGAATTGAGTGTTGAATTTTAATAAGCTCTTTATAATCTCCACTGACCAAATCATATGCATTTTTTCCTTTAATTTTTTTAAGGTAGATAATAGGTTTTCAAATATTGGACCAGCCTGGTATTCCTGAAGTAAATATAACTTGTTTATATGTATTCATTTTTTAAAACATTATTTGTTTCAGTTTTAGTGTTCTCTTTAAGATTTTCATAATCTGTCAGAGATTGTCTTTAATATTCCTTCCTCATACTGTCCCTGTTTTGTTACCAGGATGATAATAGCCTCAGAAAGTGAGACAAGAGCAAATTTCCTCTTTTTCTGTTCTTTGGAGGCAGTCGTATGAGGCTATTCATCTGTTCCTCAGATGTTTGATAGAACTCACTTGTAAAACTGTCTAGAAATGTTTTTATCTAGAAATGGTTTAATATTCAAAAGGACTAGTACAGCCATCCCAGTTTCCTGATTTTCCAGTCTTAGTTGTGCATTTACATTTTTCTAGGAACTTATCCATTTCACTTAAATTTATGAACAATGCTTTTATTTTTAATCCACATCTATATTTATGCTCTCTTTTTTATTTTGGGTATTATTTATTCCTGCTTTCTCTCTTTCTTTCTTTCTTTTTTTTTTCCTCTCTTTTTTTCTTGATTAGTCTTGCCAGTGCTTTGTTAATTTTATTGATCTTTTAAAGAACCAACTTTTGGCTTTGTTATTACCTTGTTTCATTTTCATTTTCTGTTAATTCCTGATGTAACTGTTTTTGTTTCCTTCTTTTACTTTTGTTGGGCTTACTCTGTTTTTCTGAATTCATTGTTTGTGGTCTGTATTTTCTAACATTAGCATCCCAGGCTATAAATTTAGCTTTTGCTGTATCTCACAAGTTTCAAAAAGTAGTATTTTCACTATGTAGTTCTAAATAGCTTCTAATTTCCATTTAGACATTTTTTGAGTTTTCTGGTTATCTTTTTGTCATTGATTGGTTTTCAGCTTAGTTGTCTTGTGATCACAGCATGTGGTCTATAGGATGCAAACTCTTTGACCCCACTTCTTGAGGGCATTTGCTTTTGCTCTACAGCTCTTCCCCAGATATTTGCAGTACTCACTACTTTATTTCCTTCAGGCCTTGTCTAAATATCACCTTCTCGGTGAGGCCTTCCCTAGCCATCTACCTAAAATTTCACATACCCTTTTCTACTTCATATCACTCTTCCCTGCTTTATTTTTTCTCCTTAGCACTTAGCACTTTCTAATATTATCCAACATCATGTTCAAAACTGGGTAGGGAAGGAAGTAAAGTCCTTAAGGGATATGTGGCTGGGGACAGAAACAAAATATAAGCTTTGAGAGAAGGGAAAGGTTGAGTGCCTGCTGTGAGATTGAAGAGTAACTAATAATAGTAGTGCAGGTGACCCTTGAACAACAGGGGTTTAAAGTGCCTGGGTCCACTTATACGTGGAGTTTTTTCAATAAATAATACAGTTTGCCCTCCGTATTTCACAGGTTTTGAATCTGTGGATTCAACCAACCGCGGACAGAAATTGCCATCTGTGGTTGGTTGAATCCCTGGGTGTGAAACCCGTGGATAAAGAGGGCCAGTAAGGGACTTGAGCATCTGTGGATTCTGGTATACACGGGGGCTCTGGAAGCCAACCAGGCGGATACCAGGGGACAGATGCTAGTGTGGGTAAGAACAACACAGCTGGGGAGTCAGGATTGTGCTCAGAGAGTGAGGTTTTCATTTACTATTTAAGAGGTTCGTCGATCAGTTATGGATGATGATAAAATCAAGGGTAGGGGCAGGGTCCTTTAAGTAGAATGTGGGTGAAGGTTGCAGGAGGGACATGAATCAAGACATTTGGAAACTAGGGTTTTGAAGGATTCTGGACATCACCCAACATGGTGGTGGGATTTGGGATAAAGACGAAAGATGTGAACGAAATGTCAGTGTCCACCTGTCTTCCAGAGCTGCTTGATGGAATAGCCCTTGAATAGCATCGTCTGGCTTCTTGTGATTGGAGAAGGGATTGGCTCACTTTCTCTCTTGGTCCATTCTGCGTTCAGGGTCAAGGAGGTCAGGTTGAACTGGGAAGGCCTGGAGTGGTTTGAGGAAAACAGTCTAAATATAAATCTTCTTAGATAGTTGAAGAAGCGATTGGCTCCTTAGATGCTCAGTTCTTTATGGCATCAGAGCAGCCTGTGCAGTTAGTCTTGAACTAAAGAATTTCATGGCCTTTTGAGGAATTAGTGCTTTTGTTTTTGATGTTATTTGTTTGCTTGTTTTTTCCTACCCCCAAGCAAATATTTTAGGAAGTTATAATGCCTGTTTTAGTTGAAATCTAATGTTTCACCTAAATGTTTCTAGTCTGTATTTCTGCAACATTTCTATTGCAAAGTTACAACTTTTAATTTTTCATTTGTTTTGAATCCTCCATTCAACATTTTCTTCTACTTCCAAATAAAGTTATTTTTCTGTGCATGTCTTTAATTTTAAAAGTGCTAACAGCTGACATGACAGCACTTTCATTGTTACCTGACTTACCTTTTGTGCTGTAGTCATTTCCCTTTGGTATTACTGTAGTGGGAGTTTTTGTTTGTTTGGATGGTGGTGGTGGTGTTTTCTTTCTTTTTTTGAGCTTTTGAATTGACAGGTAGTGAAATATCTAATAGTTCTTGGTTGGCAGATCGTTAAGAAATTGAGCTATTTACTGTCTTCTGGGCTTACAGCATAACTGTACAAAACAGCTTAATTTTTTTTAAAACTTTTGTTGTTATTAATTTTGTTTATTTATTTTAGCTGCGTTGGGTCTTTGTTGCTGCGCGCAGGCTTTCTCTAGTTGTGGTGAGCGGGGGCTACTCTTCATTGTGGTGCCTGAGCTTCTCATTGCGGTGGCTTCTCTTTGTTGCAGAACACGGGTTCTAGGCACACGGGCTTCAGTAGTTGTGGCTCACGGGCTCTAGAGCGCAGGCTCAGTAGTTGTGGCGCACGGGCTTAGTTGCTCCACAGCATGTGGGATCTTCCCGGACCAGGGCTCAAACCCATGTCCCCTGCATTGGCAGGCAGATTCTTAACCACTGCACCACCAGGGAAGTCCAAAACAGCTTAATTTTTGAATTGGAGCTTACTGATGTTGATTTGCTTTGTCCTGATTTGGGAGGCATGATAATATTATTTTTTAAATTATTTCATACTATAGAAATAAGAAGTAGTGGATAAGTAGTATTGCTTTGTAGATTTCTTCTCTATATACATTACCTAAATAGGGTTTCTCTGCCCTCGTGTTCAGTGAAACTATTTTATATGTGCATTGGGTTCTTTACAAAGAATTCCTCAGGAGGTTGTGTGAGGCCTCCATGAAGACCAGATATTATCAGAAAGCTTAGGAAAAAACTGCTGTTCAATGCCATATTGTTTATAAGACATCATAAGGAGAGGGAAAATATAATTAAACTCTTTCAACTCTATAAATCTGAAATGTAACTGTTGAATCTAGAGTGGACATTAGGGCAGGTTTAGTCTTTGATTGGAAAGTGAGTCTATTTTTTCAAGTTGCTTATTTTTAATAACAGATTTTAATATCCTTGGATTAAAAGATTTAGTCTTATAATTTTACAATTAGAAGGGACCTTAGATGTACTATCATGACGCATGTAGTACTTGTATTTTCCTTATGAAAAGTTAGAACCTGAAAAAAAATTAGCATGCTGAAAGCAATCCAGAACAGAGGTGAAGACGTATCCATTAACATGGGCAAATGAATAAGTCAGCTATTTTGCTGCCGTTAGTTTTCTGAGTACTAACACATTGGCTTGTGGTTTTAATTGTTGAATCGCTTTATTTTTTTATTCAGTGCTATCCATATATATATCTTCTTATATTTGGCTGTTGGTTAATGGTATGCATAGGGGTCCTAAGTAAATTGTTTAGAAGTGCTATTTGGTAGGTTGGAAAACGGAACATGAACTTGGTAGTTGATTTAGAAGTGTCTTGATGTGTCTAACATATTTATCTTTCTCTTTTAGGAAACTGAAAATGGCCCTTCAGCTATGCTAGGTCTATAATGGGAAGTGTCACAGTTCGATATTTCTGTTATGGATGCCTTTTTACATCTGCAACCTGGACGGTTTTGCTTTTTGTTTATTTCAACTTCAGTGAAGTGACTCAGCCACTTAAGAATGTGCCCATCAAGGGGTCTGGGCCCCATGGACCATTCCCCAAAAAATTTTATCCCCGTTTCAGTCGAGGTCCAAGTCAAGTGTTAGAATCACAGTTCAAAGCAAACAAAATTGATGATGTGATAGAGGATCATATTGAAGATCCAGAAAGAGGCAACATGAAATTCTCTTCTGAACTGGGTAAGTGTATTTGATTTTTGCTAGCAGCATGTCAAAGTATTTTATCATTGGAAGTTTAACTGTTCTTAAAATCATGTATTGTTCAGAGAATTAGAAATGTGACATTTTTTCTGCACTGATTTATTTCGTTCATGAACTAGCTGAGGTCATATGATTTTTGCAGACTCAGTAGGGAGTTACATTCTGTTTTGTCCAGTTCTGACTTCAATATTTTATGAGGACTTGGGAGAAACTAATGAGGTCCAGAATAGGAAAAAAAGAAAAGAAAAGAAAAGAAAGAATGAAAAACTAAGTAGCTAGAGAGAAAATGGAACCTATGGGGAAGGATTATAATTGCTAGCATTATTTAATAAGGGAAAGTAATGGTTCAAAAGTGACTGTATTTAACGTATTTTGAAAGGCAGAGTTAATTAAAACAGAACATAAACCATTGAGTTTAGAAATAAGATGAGATTACTTATATCTAATAAGATTTCTACTTATAAGAATTATTCAGGTGCCGGAATATATTTATTAAATACAGGAGTTTGTAAAATAGAAACTTCTTTATTCTTCAGAAATTATATTCTGTTCAATTTGGAAGTAAGACTCTGATTACTGTAATTCTAGAGTCCTGGTTTCAGCAAATTTTATTTTAAGGGATAAATGAGCCCTTTAAAACTTTGTCTTTAAAACTTAAAAAAGAACTTTGATCTTCATTGACGCGTCAAATAATAAGTAATTTAAGAGAAAAAGCATATAGTAAGAGATTCTGAGAGATTGAAAGATCCACAGAATATAAAGGAAATGTTAAAACAGATTTTTTTTCACTTCATCATAGTTTCAAAGAATAAAATCAGTTCCTAGGATTTAATCACTTCCTAATAAAGGAGGTTGAACATATTTAAAATTATATGAGGAAATGGAGGCTATTACTTACTTTAGTTTTCATAAAATATACCTTCTGATTTTTTTCAAACAGCCATTTGGACATTTTAAAAGCATTAATGGGAAAATTTCTAGTTTTTGTTTATAGTAATTTCTGTAAAACTTTTATAAAGAAGTAACATTGGGTTTACCATTTTGAATGGACTTTGTTTGCCTGTGAAAGAAGTAGTGAGAGAATTGTAGATATTTGAAGTGACAAACCCAAACTGCCTACCTGAAAAACTAAATTCTTTATAAAAGATCCTAAAGATCACAAAAAATATTATAGAGAATAAATGAATTCAGCAAAGTTACAGGGTCCAAGATCAACACACCAAAACCAGTTGTATTTCTGGACACTAGCAATAAACAGTCCAAAAGTAAAATTAAGGGAACAATATCATTTACAATGGAATCAGAAAGAATAAAGTACTTAAGAATAATATAGCCAAGGAGGTCTAAGATTTGTACACTGAAAACTACACAGCACTATTGAAAGAAATAAAAATAGGCCTAAATAAATGGAAAGAGGTTCATGGATGGAATGCTAAGTACTGTTAAGATGTCAGTACCACCCAAAGCAACCCACAGATTGAATGTAAATCTTATCAAAATCCCAATGGCTTTTGTTGAAAAGATGGAAAATCTGATTCTAAAATTGGTAAGGAATTGCAAGGGGCTCTGAGTAGCCTGAACAGTCTTGAAAAAGAACAAAACTGGAGAACACACACTTATCTATTTCAAAACTTCCTGACAGTGTGATACTGGCATAAGAATAGATATGTATCAGTAGATCAAAGGATAGACTGAGAGTCTGAAAATATACTCTGTGACATCTGTGGTCAGGTAGCATCTATGGTCAGTAATACCTAAGGACAAGTAACATCTGTGGTCAGTTGATTTTCGGAAAGGGTGCCAAGAGCAGTTAATGTGGGAAGAATGGTCTTCTCAACCAGTGGTGCTGGGACAGATAGATACCCCCATGCAAAGGAATGAAGTTGAACCCTTAGCTCATGTCATATTAAATTAACTCAGAATGGATCAAAGACTATAAAACCCTAAGAAGAAATCATAGGGATAAATAAGATAATTGGGGAAACACTGCATTCTGTATTTCACCCCCTCACATCTGGGAATCCATAAAACAAACAATATTCTTTAAAAAAAAAAAAAGAAACCTGCTCAACTCGAACCTGGGCCCCGGCAGTGAAAGTGCTGAGTCCTAACCACTGGACCGCCAGGGAATTCCCTTACTTGACTTTTAAAATCCAGTCTTTTCCTGAATTATTTGACCGTGAAATCTTGTTTTTCTTTTTAAGTCTATTAATGTCCAGTGGAATTAGTTTTCCGTGACCAGATTTTGAGAAATGCTGTTACAAGGGAGTCATTCTGTGAGGAGAGGCTAAAGGTTTTATGTGGGAAAGAGAAAGCAAGAGGAGGCTTTATTGTTCTTGGTAAAGGTTAAGATTTCTGGCAATATTAGAGCAAAGATGTTAAATTATAATGATCTTGATTAGATCTGTGGAGGACTTCCTTGACCAGAGACTTTATAGAAAGGTTTATCAGTAGTATAATTTTTTAGGGGAGGAGTTCATATAAAAATTTGCTGTTAAAAAAAAATTTTTTTTTTAGACAAAAATTAACAAAACCAAAAAAAACCTTGCATTAATTGGGGCCTGTTGAGGTCCATATGGGGTTCTATAATCTATTGCTTTTATGGAAAAATCATCATTAAGCCTCTTTTTTCTTGGTCATGGGTAAGTTTTTCTCTTGAAAATATTCTTAAGATTATGGCTAGTGAGCAGGTGTCATTTATGGTTAAGGTACACTTGCTTTTTGAGCTAAACTGATAAAAATTTGACTTAAACCTCAATTTACTTTTTTGAAAATGGAGACAAACTAGATTTGAGAAACATGGCTATTACCTGGTTATAAGAAGTTAAGATCATAATATAACAGTAACTGTAGCATTCCTTTCCAGATTTAATGTACTGACTGTGACGTCACTCTTTTGCAGGTATGATTTTTAATGAACGTGATCAGGAGTTGAGAGACTTGGGGTATCAGAAACATGCCTTCAATATGCTTATTAGTAACCGCTTGGGCTACCATAGAGATGTGCCAGATACAAGGAATGCAGCGTATGTTCCTTATTGGTTTCTGCTAATCACTTTAATAACACAGTGTTTTTAGTGCCAGCATAATAAGTCATGGGGATGGCGTTAATATTTTGCAATTAGGCTTATTATTCAGGATACTAGAAAACTTAGGACAGACTTCCACTCATATTATGCTTGAAGCCACATGGTCTGAGATTGTACTGACAAAGTTCTAGAGCTTGCTGTTTCTTTTGAAATTTAAAATCATGTGGGAAAAAGGAGGGAGGTACTACCTGCATATAATTAAATAACCTTCCGAGCATAAGTTTATTTTAAATGTTTGTTTATTAGATTCATGGCAAAAAGGAATTAATATCAGTGAAGAATTCTACTCATCATCTCACTTTTCTGTTTTCATTACTTTTGTTTCTTCAAAGGCTTTTCATTCATATGGTCAATCTGTCATTCATTCCACAGATCTGTTTCAGCACCTTTTGTTCGCTGGACTCTCTATTAGGCCCTGGAAATAAACAAAATAAGACATAGTCTCTCGGTTCACAGGGCTTAGAGTCTAGCAGGGGAGGTAGGTAAAGAAGTGAGTAATTGCACTTCCACAAGAATGAGGGCTGTGATAGGAGTTGGTGAAATGGGGTCCTCCAAACCAGAATGACCAGGGAAGGCTTCATAGAGGATGATGACTGAGCAGTGATGTAAGGGAAGGTTTTTCCCTATATAGGGAACAGATCGAGGCATAAAATTATACTCTTTGTCAAAGGGACTGAAACAGTTCACTTTGCCTGTAGTGGAGGAATGGCAAGAAACTGGAGGTGGGCAGGGCCCAGACATTGGAAGGCTTTGTATGCCATGCAAAAGAACATGGAATACCAGATTTTATTGCTTAAGGTAGTGTTTTTTTAAATTGTGGTTGCTTAAAGCCACTTAATCCTTTTTATCAAATAGTTGCTTACATGGAAGCTCTTCCATTATCCTGATATACATCATAGTTTACTCAAATCTTTTTCTATGATTGGGCAAAAAATAAAATTTTCAAATACAAAATTTCACATTTCCATTATTTCCTTTTGAAACCTCTTTGAGGAGAAGAAACTGAACATCAGCTTATGAGTGCGGCATTAAAAACTTGCAGTGATTTTAGTAAAAACACATTTTTATGTACCAAAAAAGAAAAAAAATTCAAGTTTTTAAAACGTTGACCTAAAAATAAGCGGAGTTGCAGGTACTGGAAGGAGAAATCATTAACAAATGTAAAACTCTTGAATAAGAAAACACATTTTGATGGGGAGGGGGAAGGGTAGGCTGTGACAAAGCGAGAGAGTGGCATGGACATATATACACTACCAAACATAAAATAGGTAGCTAGTGGGAAGCAGCCACATAGCACAGGGAGATCAGCTTGGTGCTTTGTGACCACCTGGAGGGGTGGGATAGGGAGGGTGGGAGGGAGGGAGACGCAAGAGGGAAGAGATATGGGAACATATGTATATGTATAACTGATTCACTTTGTTGTAAAGCAGAAACTAGCACACCATTGTTAAGCAATTATACTCCAATAAAGATGTAAAAGAAAAAAACAAAGAAAACACATTGTTATCTTAAACGCTTTTTAAAAAATTGTTAATAATGTAAGGAAGAAGCCGAACAAGGGGACAGTTAATGTTTAGTGAATAATAACCTAAAACATTTGAGCTTTTAAATTGTCAGAATTTTCCCATATTCGTCTTCACAGATGTAAAGACAGGTCTTACCCCACGGATCTGCCAGTCGCTAGTGTTGTTATTTGTTTCTACAACGAAGCCTTTTCTGCCTTGCTCCGGACCGTGCACAGCGTCCTGGACCGCACGCCAGCCCGGCTTCTTCATGAAATTATCCTCGTGGATGATGACAGTGACTTCGGTAAGGACTATTGTAATTGGCAATGTGGGATCTATGCTGTTGTTCACTGTCGTACTGACCATGTCAACAGAGCTGACCATTTAGTACTTAGTGGATAGGAGGACCCTCATGCACGCAATTGCAACAGAGCCAACCACAATTAAATGCCTGATTATAGGGTAATTTCAAAGAAACTGCACTATCTTTTTTTTTTTTTTTTTGCGGTACGTGGGCCTCCCACTGTTGTGGCCTCTCCCATTGCGGAGCACAGGCTCCAAACGCGCAGGCTCAGCGGCCATGGCTCACGGGCCCAGCCGCTCCGCGGCATGTGGGATCTTCCCGGACCGGGGCACGAACCCGTATCCCCTGCATCGGCAGGCGGACTCTCAACCACTGCGCCACCAGAGAAGCCCTGCACTATCTTTGTAATCTGTTTTCAAACTGTGCTACCCAAATTTGGCCCTTGAAATTTTTCCCTTGGCTTACCTTTTTAAAAGAGTATTTTTATTTTGAAATAACTATAGATAGACAGTAAGTTACGAAGAGGTCCTGTGTACCCCTTCACCCAGTTTCCTCCATTGGTTACATCTTACATCATTATAGTACAATATCAAAACCCAGAATTTAACATTGGTACAATATGTGTGTACAGTTGTCATTTTATCCCGTGAGTAGATTTCTGTAACCACCCCTGCAGTCAAGGTACAGACTACACTGCTCCATCACCCCTTCAAGAATGTTATATAAACAGAATCATACAGTATGTGACCTTTTGAGATTGGCTTTTTTAACTAGACATAATGCTTTGGCTTACATTTATCTCGTCAGTCTGTTATATCAGCTGTCTCTAGATAAGGTGGATTGCATTCTGATAGCTCTGATGATCTCTGAAGGCCAGTATTTTATGATTCAGTACATACTTCAGACCTTTATTTAATTCAACATAGACTCTTCCTAAAAGTGATTTCATGTACATACAGCAGGATGGAGGGCTGTCCTCAACCTTGTGCGAGAGGTTGTATCCCCATTTTACAGAGGAGGAAATATTAAGTAATTTGCTCAAGATTCTGTAGCTGTTAAGTGGTAGAGTTGAAATGAGACCCCTGGTCTACATAGTCCAAGCCTTCTGCTATTTTCATTACAGTAACCTGCAGAGATACACTGATAAATTGTATGTCAATTACATATTTTTTCACAACTCAAGGGTTTATTAAGCATCTCTTATATATCAACAACAGAATTGGTATGCAAGTATACTTAAGTATACAAAATGAGGAAACGTACACTGAGACCAATGGGTGCAAAATTCTCAAACCTTGGTAACTATTGAAATCTCATAGGAGGAATAGAAAACAATTTAATTTCAAAAATAAATGATTGAAAAAAACCAAGAATTTGAGTCTGGACCAAGTAGAAGATTGGCTAAGTAGTATAATTCTAGAATTTATGGTGTTCAATTTTTTTTTTTTTTGCGGTACGCGGGCCCCTCACTGCTGTGGCCTCTCCCGTTGCAGAGCATAGGCTCCGGACGCACAGGCCCAGCGGCCATGGCTCACGGGCCCAGCCGCTCTGGGGCATGTGGGATCTTCCTGGACTGGGGCACGAACCCGTGTCCCCTGCATCGGCAGGCGGACTCTCAACCACTGCACCACCAGGGAAGCCCTTGAATTTTTTTTTTAAGTAAACCTGTATTTTTCATTTTGTTGGTACTTTTTCTAAAAGGGAAAGTTCATGATCATTTACAATGGTTTATATACTAACTATAGAAAGAATTACTTATTATGATCTTATATGATCTTTGAAGTTAGTATGAAATTTAAAGGTAAATGAAGTTAGTATGAAATTTAAAGGTAAATATTTAGTGCCCATGAAAGGTGCTAAATTAATAAAAGAATGTATTTACTGCTGCTATTATATAATTCTTGGTAGGGAAATCGAAGTTGTTTCTCAACTATTCTGAATTGGAGTAGGACTTAATAAATCACTTTGAAACAAAAGATATTTACATATCATTTTGTTTTAAATATGAGTTATATGCAGTCAGCCAAACATTCATTCACTCAAGATACTCATTTCAAGCATTCTTTATGCAAAGCGTTGTGTTAGTTGCTATGGAAATACAGATAAGTCTATAACTTAAGTAACTATTCCTTTAGGCTAGTGTTCCAACTCTTAACCCTCATTTTCTTCCTTCCAAGATAAGCTATGATCTTCTTTTAAAATAAAGCAGAAGAAAATTCTATATTTGCTTAAAAATTTGTTGTTGCAAGTGCCAGCCACGACTCTAGAGAATCTGCAAAATGTCTGTGCATATGTCTCATGTGGTTTGAACAGTTGTGCGACTCTTCATTTTCAGATGATGTGAAAGGAGAACTAGATGAATACATCCAAAAATACCTCCCTGGAAAGATTAAAGTAATAAGAAATACAAAACGTGAGGGATTGATTCGAGGAAGAATGATTGGAGCAGCCCACGCAACAGGTAGAACTTCGCCCTGGCCTTTCTTGGTGGGTATTGAGTGATGAGGGCTCTGAGTCTTCTGCCCTCCTGATCCTGCGTCAGTCTCTGAAAAATGGTGTCTTAGTGGGCACTGCCAGCAGGAAAGGTGAGGCTTGTTCAGTTTGGGAAAGGCCTTTCCATAACTCCAACCCAGTTGTCCCAAAGCACAGGCTCCAAGGAGGTAACTCTGGAGTCCTCAGTGGTCTGCCTCTCTGGTTTTTCTTCAGTTAACATTATATTGATTCAAATGTATTTCTTTTTATGGTTACCTCTATGGAAGGTTGGTGATCCTAATTTTCATTTATGATCTTGATAAAAATTTTTCCTTTTAAAATACATTTATTTCAGTTAAAACAAATGAATTTGTTTAAAAATATTAGGTATCTAATACTGCAGGTAATGCCTGGATATGGCAAAAAAAAATCATGAAGATAATTTTAAAATTCCAGAACTTTGAGGGGGCATTCCCTAGTAGTGAAAAAAATCTCTTACCTTCCCATATACTGCTCTCAAGATAACCAGTCACTGGGCTTTAAGTGGTTGGCACTGCTTTCTGCCACCACCCCTCCTTGTATACCCACTGTCCCATTTGCTGGGTTTAGCTGTGACTTCATTTTTAGAATCTTTCTTCTTCCCTCCTTGCTCTTAAACCTGCAGTGAACAGGAGCAATTAACAGAAAATGAGAAGTAGCCCCCTCCATCCAGTCCGCAGTCATATGCAGACTGAGTTCCAGGCGAGTTTTCTTCTGTAGAGTCTAGTTTTGACATATTGAAGGCACGAGATAGAAAACTGTGGGGTATTTGTAGGGAATGGCAAAATTATGTCACAGAACATCGTACTGTTATAGTATCTTGTTACTGAGAGTTTATTGTTTTTCAGGTAACAATAGTCATTTAGTTTTTTTTTTTTA